CTTTTGCCCTTCATTTACATGGTAAGCACACTTACCTCGCCCTATACCCCTGACTACCCTAACCCAAAATACCATAGCAGGCATTTGGTGGCGGCACTGTGTAACAGCCCAATAGTTAGAAGCCCTGACCTCTTGGTAAAGTTCCATTAACGTCACCAAAAAAAAAGTCAAGTGGTTATCGGTTTCAAGTACCTTACTTGACCTGCATGGCAACTTTTACACAATATTTGCAAAACAAAATCAAGTTATACCAAATCAAATTCTTAAAAAGTTACCAACTTCCAAGGACAAATATTACAAAAATCGGTATAGCTCTTAAATGCAAGCAATGTGAAATGATAAAACGAATTTAACATAAAAATGAAATGAAAAAATTTGTAGAAAGAAAACAAGGAAGCAGTAAAGATAACTAAAATGGGTAATAACTCTACCTAATCCTATCATGCATCTTGTATCCAATTTCAAAATCTTAAATTTCATATTCAAATTTACACAAATCATGGTATATCCTGGAAGAAAATCCCGAGTCAATACAGATACAGATACAGAAGACATCCAAAAGAAAAGAAACCCTAAGAGCGAAAACAGGGAAAGGTGAAGAAAATAAAGTAAAAGTTTGCACAATACAGATGATCGGAACACCCAATGAACGAAATGCGAAATTCAGAAACGAAATTATGAATTAAGAGAAAGAAGATCGACGGCGAGGGGGATCGGAATCTATCGTACCTGGACTGGATGTGTGAGAGAAAAACGGAAATGGCAGAAATACGGTTACAGAAAGGGAGGAGAGGATGAGTCCGATTCTCCGATCTCTCCAGGGAGCGTCGATAGTAGCAGAAGCAAACACGGTGCCGTGGTTGAGATTTATTCTGTCCTCCGATTGCCGTGGCGGTACGCTCCTCGCCACCATGTCGTCATTTATACGCCATTTTATCGCCATTTTTTTTTTAATTGGTGGGCTGGGGCCTGGGTTAAGAAATCTAGGCCCGACTTGGCCTTGTGGAGGAGCCCGAAGAAAATTTTCTATCCTTTTTTTTTTTTTTGGTAAGTTAAGATATTTAATTTTATCTATTTAATAAATAAAATTTACAATATACTGAATTTGAGAAAAATAAAGAAGAAAATAATGAAAGAATACGATATCCTTTTATTTCCATTCATTTCCCTTTTCTCCACTCCTTTGATTTGGAGAAACTCAAATTAAATATATTATTAAGTAGAATCTATATTATGTTTCATTCATTTTATGTCTTTAATTGGATGTCATTATATTTTTAATGCTGTAATATTTGTTTTTCTACAACCTTTTACATTATTTAGCATCATTTCATTTTAAGAGATTCATGTTTTACAATTAAGTTAGATTGTATGTTAAAAATGTAATTTGAATATTAAATAAAATAAAAATTGTAAAATTTATTAATTAAAAAATTAATTGAAATAAAATTTTTTATATATTTATTATTTTATAAACAAAATTTAAAACTTTAAATTTATAAAACAAATACATTGCAATCCCTCTTAGTTAAGAGAATGAAAAAGAGAGGAGTACAGGGGTTCCATCACCAGCGCAATTAATGAAGAAAGCTAAACCAAGAGAAGCAACACCCCCTCCATTAATCAAGGTAATTAAACCAAATGAAAGAGGCGTCATCCCCTTACTCTTCTCTCCTCCCCTCCCCCCTCTCCTCTCCTTTTTTAGGAATGGTAATTTACCTCGATTCACATGAGATCCCATGAGGATTTTCATTCTCCGTGAAGAACGGAGAAATCTACCCCTCATTAAAAATTCCTACAAAAATCCCTATGCCTATCATTTCGCGATGATAATGGGAACCGAAAGAGACTTCCTGACCTAACAAGACCTGTTGACATCCCTATCCTTCCCCTCCAAAACCCCCAATCCAAACAAATGTTAAGGACAATTTATAATTTTAATATTCAAACAACACTTTTAAATTTGAATATATAATTCAACTTATAAAACACCTTTTCACTATTATAAAAAATGATTTCCTAAAAGCCAGTCCTTGAACCGCTTTGTCGTCCAAGAGAAAGTTAAATAACCGTGGATGTTAGGATACTCCGCCTAAAATGAAAAAACCCTCGTAATTTTTCCATGTTTTTTCTTTCGTTATTATAACAAAAAAATAAATTGATTTCTATTTCACATAAAAGTAGAATCCTACAACAGAACTATTAGAGTATAACTTAAGTACACCATTAATTCCGCCTTTATGCATACAAAAATACTTCGGCTTCAACAAAAAAAAAGACATACATATATACACACACTAATAAAGCATGTTGCCCGACACCATTACAAGAAATTTTCCCACATGTTGCCCTACAATATTTCACCTGATAAAAATCTACTCCTGGAAAACAGATAAGAGCGATGAGATGATAAAACAACTTGGCATCAGCAAACTATTACTATTTATACAACAACAGCGCCAAACTTTTGAGAGCACTTGGCCTTCTAGTGCGAAATTCTGCACCAACAATATGCATCTCATCTTGTAATCTGAGTGCTAAAAATCCTTAGCAGCCTGTTGGTTGCTTTAATCAAATACCAACGTGCAGGCTCTTGAATGTTGAATCCGCAGAAGCAAATCTTTATCTAACAAGTGTCGACAATGCTACAAGGCAATTTCACCTTAATTTCATCAAAGACATAGCTCTTTACAACCATAAATGCATCTGCACCAATCAGAAATAACATGAAATGAAGTGTTGTTATATAATTCCAAGGAAGAAAATTTAGAAAACAAGACTCCATCCTAAATCTTAGTGGGGTTCAATTCACTCTAAGTCTTGACAATCAACACACACATGTCAAACATGTATCATGCTTTCAAATTCAGATGGCTTTCAAGCATCTTAAGTATCTCCTGTTAAACAACTCATGAAAGTGACAGATCCCGTGGACCAATGTCACCTGCAAAACAATAGCATTATTTATATTTTGCTTAAAAACAGAAACCAAAGACAAATGTCTCTGGCAAGAAACAACATTTATATTGCATATTTTTATTTTCTTTTTCAAGGATGGTGTGAGTGGCAACATAAAAATCTGGAACACAAATAAAAATAGGGATAACTTAACAGGTTTTACCTGTTACTTTTGCAGCCAAGGTTTTTATGGAAAGAAATTCTCAACTCTGTCTGCCAAGATAAGGAGAAGCTGAGCCTGAGGGTGTTGGAGGAGGCCGCTTCACAAATGGATGATGTAAGAGCTGAACAGCTGTTGGACGATTATTAGGATTAACTTGTAGACATCTCAGGATAAAATCTCGTGCATCTTTTGACAGAGAATCAGGAACTGGTGGTGGCTCACCCTTCCCAATTCTAAACAATGCTTGCATCTGCTTGAGTAACAAAGCAAAGGAGGAGATGTTAACAAAGAGGAAATGGTACTTAAAGTTGT